TCTGACATCCATTTTGACCTTTTTCTTCTTGTCTTCTTAATGACTTTTTGCTTTCTTCCTGTGTGATGTTCTTGATATCATCCCACAACTATTCTGGTCTTTGGTCTTCAGTGTTTAATGTATCAAATCTGTTCTTCAGATGATCTCTAAATTCAGGTGGGATATATTCAAGGACATATTTTGGCTCTCATGGACTTGTTTTCATATGGTTGGCTCAGAGAAAAACAATCAGTCTGTGTTAGCATTATTTTTAAGTTAAACAGATGACTAGCTAGGTGTTCAGACTTATTCTGTCATGATATGAACTGTTTTCATTGTATTTAAGAAAAAAGTAACCCCTTTAGCTCTACTCCCCATCTCCAAAGTGCCTTGCATACTGCCCTGATTATTAAATGCTTTTGAGTTGGTTCCAACTCCTAGTGACCCTGTATAGGGTTTCCCAAGCTGTTCATTTTTATGAGAGCAGAAATCTTCATCTTTCTCCCAAGGAGTTGGTGTGCTTAAACCGCCAACCCTGTGGTTAGCAGTCTGGTGCTTATCCTACAGAGCCACAGTGTTCCTCCCTGCCTATTTCTAGGAGTTTCACTACCCAGATGCTGTCTGCATCCTGAGTCCTGATTATTGGCCATTAAAGGGCTTTGCTGCATCCCTGGTGCTCCATAAGACAGACCGACACCCCTCAGCCAGTGAAACCAGATGTCTGCCTAGCCCACAAGAATGCCTTTCTGGCTCTGCAGTCTGAATTTGAATCTTCACTCAAACATCACATGCTGTTCCCTCCACCTGGAACAGTGTTTCTCCCTTCACTGCCTAAAACACACGCCCTTCAAGTTTCCAACATTACTTCCCGACTGTCTCAGATTGGATTGGATGCCTTTTATCTGGACTGTCTCAGCTTCCTTTTTCCCCATCACAGCACTGGATCCACTGTAGTGACATTGAACTGCCTGCGTGCCGTCTCTGTGGGGCTCAGTACAGTGTCTGACACTCCACTCTGCTTGTTGAGTGACATTGACAAGTCACCTGGGCAAGCAGCTTATTGTCTTGTTCAGTGTCTCTTCTGGCATCCATTTTGACCTTTTCCTTCTTGTCTTCTTAATGACTTTTTGACTTAATGACTACGGATAAGTCTGTACGGTGGGTGTACTAAGAGTGTGCTCCTCAGCTGGGTGTTCTGAGGTGCTGATAATAAGGTGCTGAAAGAGCCCAGCACAGTGCCTGGCACACAGAACACAAGCACCTGGCACCTACTATCATAAAATCCCATCCCTTATACACTAACAGGTAAGTTGTTCTGCCTCTGCCTACGATTCATAAGCATTTGAATTTCCACCATTTTGGTGGCCAGTGTGGGGTGTGTAAGAGAGAAGCTGGCCTGAGAACCTATCTACAAGAACTTTCCCTACCTCAGGTAGAGGATGGCTGCATGTGGCAGTAGGCAAAGGGGCCAGGAGCCCACACAGGTAGCTTACCCTTTATCATTTTTTTTCTCTGTAACATTAATTCTTCTCTCCGGAATCTCTCTGAATCCAGTTCTGAGTAGTCCCAGTTGTTATAGCTCTGCGGGCAAGGGTATATACCTAAAAGGGAGTCAAGAATGGGAGTGAAAACTTGAGCCAAAGAGAACGAGAGTCTTCACTCAAGTCACAGTAAAAAGTTTTGAGAAAGAGAGAGAGCATGGAGGCCAAGGCCTTTCAGATGCCAGTGCTGGTCCTCTAGAGGCTGGGCTTCAGTATTAGCTCCACCCCGCTCTGGCCCTGGGGCCTTGCCCACCTGTGCTGTACAAACGTGAAGGCCTTACAATGACTCGTTCTCCTATACCCACCTTCTCTAGACTATGAGTTTCCTGTGGGCAGGAACTGGGACTGATCCATCTTTGTATCTCGAGGGTTTGCTGTGGAACACAACATGTACTAAACAGGTGCTTAGTAAATGTTTGTTGAATGTATTATCACATTTAGATATGTGCCTGAAATGGATTACTCCTAAATACATATTTTTTTCTAATGTTTTACATGATGTCGGTGAAAATTGACAGAGTAAACTAGTTTTCCTTTCAACAATTCAGACATGCTTTGTTTCGTAACATTGATTGCCATTCCCACAATGTAACAACACTCTCCCACTTTCTCCTGGTGATTTCCAGAGGGCGCCT